CACACACACACACACACACACACACACACACACACACACACACACACACACAAGGGATATTTGGCTTTCAGGTGAAATTTCAGTTGCCAGCCTAAAATGCATTCAAACTTTTACAGGTGAACTTAATGTGACATTCCGTAAGCTTTTGAATGCACCAACTATTAAATGTTTCAGTACTTTTTTGCACAAGCTGCTGTTCTCTAACGTGGAGCTTAACGGCAAAAGTCATAACATCGACCAATAAATGTCCTGGTTCAATTAGAGCTGGTGTCGTCCTCAACATGCCGTTCACATTTTGACAACATGAGACCAAGACGACACCTAACAATGGATCAAAAGTACCTTGCCATGGTGATGCTTCAAACAGGATGTTCTCAGACGGAAGCTTAGGGTGTCAGAGTGTCATCAGCAGGTTGCAACAGAGATGCAGAGAGACTGGAAGAGTCACAGAAAGATGTAGACGTGGACGTCCTTTGGCCGCTACGTTGTGAACTATGGCCTGAGAAACCGGATGATGAATGCCACTCCATTCGAGGCAAATTTAAGGGAGGTAAGAGGCACCCAAGTGTTACGTCAGACCATTCAAACGCATTTGCATCACTATGGTCTGCGTGCTAGATGACCTACAAGCGTCTTGCAAGGGCCAGGGATCATTTCCACTGGATGAAGGGCTAGTGAGCCTCAGTGCTGTTCTCTGATGAAAGTCGAGTCATGTTGAGCAGAAATGACGGCCTCCGACGATGTCAGAGACATCGAGGAGAGCGCTCTGCAACAGCCACTGTTGTCACCAGACAAGCATTAGGTGGTGGCGATGTCACAGTGTGGGCACGTGTGTCCAGTCGGCACAGAGCTGCCCTACACTTTGTGACAAGCACATACTACCTGACTAATGTTTATTAATCCAGCGATTGTGCCCTTACACGGGCCTAATTTCACCTTCATGGACGACAATGGTCCAGCTTATCGGGTCCCATCATCAAGGAACGGCTGTTGGGACGCTGGTACTGTATACCGCAAATGGAATGGCAATTGCACTTTCTCCAGACCTGAATCCTATTGCAAACCTGTCGGATAAGCTGAGCCACGGTGTTGAGGCTCAAAACTCAACACCCCAGAACCTCAATGACCCGTCAAGAAGAGTGGGATGCCTCAGCAAACAATAAGTCCACTTGTGAACAGCATGACACGTCGTCATCAAAATGTAACGCTCAAGGGCATAAGACGAGTTAATGAGATGTCGACATTTTTTTGTCGTGGTTTTGAATTGAATTGAATACAACTTTATTGTCAAATGTGCTGTACCATACAGCAGGGGTCCCCAACCGCCGGTCCGCGGACCGGTACCGGTCCGCCGGGCATTTGGTGCCGGGCCACACAGAAAGAACTTGCCTTAATTCCGTTTTATTTATTTCGGAATACGAAAGATGTTTTATTTTGAAAAACTACCGGATTCTGTTACATCCGTCTGTGTCACGCTTGACACACGTCAAGCCACGCTTCTCCATCACGTGACCGATTACTTCAAAACAAAACGCAGGAGCTCGTAAAATGAGTAAAAAAAAACTGCTGGAGATCGCAAATCACGGCGGCCTTAAAAGTACGTTCGAGACAACTGGATTTAAGTTATGGCTGAATACTCTGAGATCGCCACAATAGCACTGTTGCTATTTCCGACATCCTACCTGTGTGAGGCGGGGGGTTTCTGCAGCAACGGCGACGAAAACAAAATTACGAAGTAGACTGGACATAAACCACACACTTGAGGTGTCATTGTCTCCTATTACCCCGAGATGGGACCGTCTGGTTACAGAAAATCAAGCTCGGTGCTGTGGTGAGTCGTCATTTTCATGCACTTTGAATTTGCGTTGTATCATATTTTGAAGGCAATAAACATTGCCATAGCGATCGGAGTGTTGCGTGGCGGGTGGTGTGCCCGCCATTGTTGTTCACTTTTGTTTCAATGAATTGCTTGAGATGAGAAAATCACTCGTGCATCCGTCTACTTAAATGTCCTAATTTCATGATATGATGTCACTGTAGCAGGAAATTTGGGGATTTTCCATAAATTTCACCTGAAAGCCAAACATCCCTAACTTTTTGTGACACACACGCACACGCACACACACACACACACACACACACACACACACACACACACACACACACACACACAAATTTTCGAGTTACGAAACGTTTAAAGAGGAAAATATTGTTACGAAAGAAATTTCAAGATACGGAAGGTAAAAAATACAGTCGCGGCTTGGAATTGAAGCAGATTTACATGGGACAGGAGATGTGAGCCAATCTCTTTTTCGTTAACGGACGCTACAGCTTCTTGTTGCTTTCAAACCTAGCTTGTAGCATGCATGTGCACATTTTCAGCATGATATCTTTGATCCACTGGTGAAAAGGACACTTTGATTCGCTCTTCTTTCAACAACTGTTTCAAGCAACAAACTGTATGCAGGAAAACTGTCTGTGTATTATGTGTTGTGTTGTATTATTTTGTCATTTTATGTTAACTGTTCTTTTGATGGTGGCGCGGGCACCCACAGCGGCTCCTCTTGTTGTCTTGTTGTCTGGTTGAGAGGGAAGAAATTTCATCTGTGCTGTATGTTGCACACAGAGTGCATTTGACAATAAAGTTGTACTTGACTTGACTTGAATTTTTGGGGGGCTTTGAACAAATGAGGGCATTTACATGGAAAATGTGTCTCTATTTACAAATTTTCTAGTTAAGAAATTTCTTCCAGAACCAATTAATTTCATAAGTAGAGGTACCACTGTATATACACACATATGTCCTTTCATGATGGGATAGTTAATGAGGTTAATTCAAATTTAATTATGCAGCCATGGTTAATGATCAGCTGGGATTCTGGAAAAGGACTGCTCTTGAGGATGAATGTGGTCGTAGGCAAACTGTAGACAATCTCCAACCTCTTCTGTATTCAAAAATGCTGCTCCTTATTGGTTTAACTTCCAGTCCACTGGTAGTCAATCATCATCAGGACAGCAAATAAGGAGGACACCTTACCATTGATGAAACTTAAGCAGTCTTGCCCCTTGGCCTCCCAAGCCAGCCATTGACCTCCTGTATCTTCTAGAGGAGGGAGCTCTGACGAAGGGGAGGGGTACGGTTTTTCAGTTACTGTCTGTGCCCATCGGGGGCAAAATCTGGGTCTGGAGTCACTGGGGTTTCGTAATTTCAGACGCCGATTCTGGCCCAAAATCAGCCCAGATTTGGCCCAGGTCATCACCATAACCTGCATGTATCCAAGCTGACTGGCTTAAGAGTGCAGTGGTTATAAAGGGAGCGGGATAGTTGGGTCCAAAGAAGAGGATTTATGCATGACCGGCTGGGTGGGGGTGGTTTTAAGGAGACAAAACAAGGATCTCGTGGATTTTAAGGGGAGAAAAACAAAGTGGCTTGTTAATAATATCAATCTGATTCTATTGGCAGAAAATACCTGATGAATTATTCTGAACAATGCATGTCCAGTCTATTTGTCAATCAGTCATCGTTTCAAAAAATATTCTCATGGTTCATCAGGTGTTTTAGGCCCCAGGCATTTTTTTTCCTTTTTAATCTACCTGTATGATGATAAACTACTGTACATTGTTTGCTAAAAGCACACAATCTTTTCTTTGAAACATGCAAAAGCATGCGTGTTGTGTCTTTTGTGTCCCTCAAGAATGCAAATGAATGAAATAATGATAAAGCCACATTACATTAATAACTTGCACAGACTGCTACAATACGAGCGCATGAATCTATTCAAAATGTGTGTGGATCATGGATCCCAGCTTTGCTCGGTGAAACAGCATTTCTAACCTTAGCCTATATATCCCTGTGTTTAAGTCAAACAACACAAGGAACAGCAGGCCGAAATGTAGTTGAAGAACTACTACAGAAGCAAAGACGGGACCCATAGTGTTTGGCTTTCAAAATGCTTTTCAAATGATTTTCACAAAAACTAGCCACAGCATCAGACCTGGACCAAAAATAAACAGCCGCTACTTGAAATAACGTCTCTAGATACGGGCAGAACAAAACTAAGCAAAAAAAAAAAAAAAAAATGCTATTTATAGCATGAAACATATTTTTGTCAGACTTTGATGCCCGATTGAAAGACACCATAAAGCATTATCTGTAGCCCTGTGACAACAAAGGCTCTTTCTCCTCATTGATCATACTTTAAGCATCAACTAAATAAAGACCATGCCCCTTTCCTAACTACTTTTTTTCCTCTTCCATCTTTAGCTCACCTAAATGTTACGGACAATCAAGCCAATTTTTACTATCTCACAAAGGCTACCAAACTCAATGCAAAATGCAGCAGAAGGACGACCAGTATTTTTTCAACACACGGTAGATCAAGCAAGTTTGAGGTAACTTGTAGTGTTGCAGGTACCTTGGAAAAACATCCAGGAATCGAAGAGTTTTGTTTGACTGCTAATGTTTGCACTAACCAACAACAATTCTGCGTAGTTCAATGATATTAAATACGCAGCATTTCTTCAGTGGGGTAAAATGCAAGAACCATGTTATATGGTCATGGTGCATCAACATGCGATTCCTATCATGATACCAATGAGCTCTGGGTCAAAAAAATTACAAAACCAAATAAGGGTAATTTTGACCTCTGCAGCATTGTTTCTTTTTTCTTTTTTTAAATATATATACATAGCTTCATCTTTGTGAAAGCAGGGCATCTTTAAAATTTGAATGTTGCAATTAGTATCCCGCCCAAGTCTGATAAAAGCATCGGTTGGATCATCAGCCGAATGATGTGAGCGCAGCAACCAAAGAGCGGAGAGGAAAGGAGTGATGGAAAGATTAAGGCTAGGGATGCTCTGTTGGGGAATTGAAGGTGACAAAATGGGGTTAAAATAAAGATAAGACTGGATCTGTTTACCAAATATGCCCTCTGTCAGTCATGGAAAAGAATGAAAGAAACAAAAAGGGAGAGAAAGGAAAGAATGAAAACGTGAAAGACTAATAAATTCTCATCATTCAGACAATTTAGCATTAATTAAAACAAGGCGAATATATTGTATTGTCAGCTGGATGCTTTGAATCAGAAATATATTTCAGAACAAAGAAAATCCAGCCTCCTTTTCCAGAATCCCTAACAGGATAAAGACCAATGTCGTCAGAAGGAATGATCTGATTTGGTTGGGGAAAAACAGTCGGGGTAAAAGCAAACAATGTATTAACTGTCATAATAAACCCATACTAACTCAAAATGCAATACTATTCATAGGTACATTCTGCAATCAGTACTTTCCAATAGGGCTGAACAATCAGTCAAACTCAAATCAACATAGCAATGTAGAAGAATGCAAATTTTCAAACTGCAGAGGCTTCAAATTGGAAATAAAAGATTTCAATCAGTTAGTATATTGTGTGTGTGTGTGTGTGTGTGTGTGTGTATTGATATGCTGTCGAAGAGAGCTGTCGTACCCAAAGCCTCCATTCGTCATTTGTGTTCCAAATGACAGATTCCATCGAACGGTGACTGGTGTTTGAATCCTTTCCAAAAAAAAAAAAAATGGAATTTGATTAAAATGGTGTAATGGAGTGCATTTTTATAGCACTGCATCTACATCCTACAGTGGGTGCCCAAAGAGCTTAACAAAGCGTGACATTTACTTATTTGCAAATTAATCGATTAAATTCAACTGTAAAGTACAGCGGCACCAGCTACTGTTCCTGAACTCATCCAATCCACACCGCAATCCTCAAGCTAACTCGCCGAAGAGGTGTTTTCTCTGGGGCAACGTTTTTTGGGGTTTTTTGTTTTTTTGCTATGCATGACGGCGTGACGGATAGGTTCAGGACAGAATTGTTGATCCACTGCCAAGATGGGCTTCACCGAGTTCATTGCCGAACAGTTAAAGTTCATTTGGTAGCTAACAGATGCGCATCCACTTCCGGGTGAAACACTTGACAAACCTGCTTGCCCTCACACTATTTTAGCTGTGTCACACATACTGAGCTCTCATGCAACAGTACTATATGACAAGATTCATTGAGGTTTTAGTGAAAAAATTAGAATTCAATACTTGCTTTTCTCCACCGGCTAGAATCCATCTTCAAATCACCATTGATTTGTGCATAGCCTTACTGTGTAGATATGTTCAGTGCCTAAAATATGCAGTCCACATATTTACAGTACATAAATTGTTTCATGTTTTGTTCATGACTGACGTTTACATCGCACTTGTTCGGTAGGAAAGTCGACATTGTGAATACTTAAAAGACTGCAAGTCAAAGTGTTTACCTAAATTGAAAGCTCAAATTAAAGTAGATAAATACAGTATACTGTTTTTCATGAGTCGCTGGCCTTTATTTTAGTATGAGCCTAACCTCGAAGACCAAAACATTGATTATCGTAAATCAGATTGTTTATTGACTCATACAAATTTATTTCTTACATTCATGGAAAGAGGACCTTGAGAAAAAAAAAAAAAAAAAAGCATATTGAATGGGATTTGCAATATTGAAATGCAATGAGATTATTTTTCAAAATTGTTCAGCCCTACTTTCAAATTGCAAAAGTGCAAAAGAGTGTTTCCCTAAAACAGCTTTTAAACCGATAAATCGCGTTCAGAGGGAAAACTGCGATTCTCTGAACTGGGTGAAAGCCAGTTTCACAGATTGCATTTTGAGAAGATCCATTTTATCACCAGGCAGTTAATACATCTTGAGGATATAAGGAGGATTTGAGAACATACAGTTCTGAACTTATGTTCTGAAACAGCCTATTCTCAAACCTATAAACACACTGTGCAAAATTCTTGAACATCCAAAAAATGAAGATCGACAATGTCTAAAACGTGTCTTTTCTTTCTGGCAGATGGCCTGCTTGAATCCTACCTTCTGCCACACCCCACGGGTACTGGCGACCTCGGACCTTCTTTCCATTCACTTCAATGACCACGTTGCTGCCAACCACAGCCAATGGCATCTTCTCCTGGTGCGAGGTGGAAAAAAATTGTTTCAATAATTTGTTTCGTGGTACATCACAATTGTTGTCAAAAAGTCTTTGTCAACGACTAACATCCCTCTGCATCTCTGGGCAATGTTGAGGCTACTGTAGATGACGAAATGAAGGGCTGTGTGGGACATTTTATAGACTAAAAAACGAAAAACCTCAGCTGGGATGTAAAGAGACTGAGTAAAATTTTCAAATGAATTTTTTTGTACCCGAGAAAGGTTCAGACAGGATTACCGTCCAGGTTAACATGAACACTGTTGATGGAATCATTTGAAAGAGGCAAACGGACACAATGTTTTGGCCAGAGGGAGCAGTTACTGAGGCGTGTTACATAAATGACCATCACTGTAGAGTGGCTAAGCTACAGCTAAAACTGGGGCAAACCTGCAAGCAATGGAAATGACCGAAAGGGCAGACTGGCCTTTGGTATTTATTTATTTATTCTTTCGGCAGACTACTAACAATTTGTTGTCCAATACCTTGATCTTCCGGATCAGCTTGTTGTCCTCATCATCGTCTGTATCTGGGAATTCATAAATTTTGATTTTGTGCTCCTGGATCTCTTTCATTATCTATCAAAAATGAAACATGAAAGTCAAACATACTATATATACATCTTTTCCCTGTTATTTGGGAGTAAAGATTTGCAGAACAAAGTACAGCGGTACCTCTACTTACGAATGTCTCTTCATAAGAAATATTCAAGTTATGAAACGCCTCAACAGGAAAATATTGCTTCTTGTTACGAAAGAAATTCCAAGATACGAAAGGTAAAAACACAGTATGGGCTGCTAGTCGCAGCGCCGAGTTTCCTGAATGCTTAGAGCTCTTCTGCCATTGGCTACTATCGAGCATCATTCTGGCATCCCATTGGCTAAGGGGGACCTCTACTGTCTGTGTCTATGTGTGTAGATAGATAAAGAGAAAGATCTGTGTCGATGCAACGTCCTCGTCATTCACCCCATGGGTGAATGATAGTTTTACGTAAATGTGAATCACCCAGAAAAAGTGTTCACCAGTTGGGCGATCGCACACTATGCTGATGTTTGCTTGGACATTTTCGAAGGATTGTTAAAAGCAAACGTCCTCGGGTCGGTTTGTGACAAAAAACAGGCAAAAACCACTTCTGAGAGAGAACATGAACTAAAGAGGACAAAAAAACGGTGAGGACGCAGTTATAAGTTAAAAAAACATTTTCATTCTTTATTCTTTGTTTTTTACATTGTGCACAACTCATTTATTGTGCAATAATCTACTTGTAACATGTATTTGTTACATATTTTGATGCATTTTTGTAACATGTATTTGTTACATATTTTGATGCATTTTTATCCTTCAGAAAACATTTATGTCAGAATTTTGGGGGTGCTTGAAACGGATTAGGGCATTTACATGGAAATGCATCTCTATTTAGAAAACTTTTCTAGTTAAGAAATTTCTTCCAGAATCAATTAATTTCATAAGTAGAGAGGTACCACTGTATAGATTAAAAAAGCGGGCATGGCTTTGCCAGAGATCAGAAATTCTCATACTAACAAGTAATATTTTCTTACAGTTCACAAATACCTGTTTCTTAAAAAGCTGGCATTCCTCTGGGGTCAGAGTGTCAGCTTTTGCAATAAGTGGAATGACATTAACTTTGTCGTGGAGCCTCTTCATGAACTCGATGTCAAGTGGCTTTAGTCTGAAGGATATACAGAGACAATGGATGGATGGAAAATGACACGACCAAGAGACATGCAAAAATTTAGGGGAATCTCAATACTGAAGAGGACCACAAAAAAGTGTACTGATTGTTTTTTTTTTCTTGCAGAAGTACTTATGTCTTCAATTGTAAACCTCATTGCACGTGTACACCCGTCCACGAGTAAATGTGTATTGTACATATTTTTTTTTTTTTTTTAAATTGGGGAAAGGAATGAATCTTATTAATCAAGAATCAATGCCCCATCAAACAGGGCTAGTCAGTCCTTCCACCTTTGATGGTAATATAGCAAGTACAGTTCAGTGGGTCACCAGCAGGGGACCCAAGTACCATGCACTCAAAGATGGTGCTGACAGAGGCTGGCATTTTTAACAGAATGTCAAGTTGGTCAATGTATTTACTGGCATGGTTGTACGAACGCTATTGTGAGCAAAATCATGAAAAGGTAGTCGGAGCAAGCAGCTGGTCACCACGAAAACTCGCAGCCAACCGAGGCAGGTGTGTTGATGTGCTTTATGTAGCGCACTGATTGTGAAGCTAACAAAGGCCAGGCTCTTTCTTGGCCCAGCTTTATGTGAGGCGGGATGAGGACCGGCTGACTTGCATGAGATGGCTGGCCCCTAAAATAGCATAATTTCTGCAATTAAGGAGATAGGATGTGATCTGTCCTTGGGTTATTTTGACAAAAGCCTGCCATATACTGTACATGTTAAGACACCTGGGAACAAACAGTTTTTTTCTGTCACAATTTCATTAGCGTCTCCTTTAAAACTGATTACTAGTCAGATTTTGCTTGAACAGACGGGCTTCCCTCTACATCCAAAATGGCCCTAAAAATAGGATTGTTTATTTGGTTGTAAAAACAATCCTTTACGGTAGGAACTGTGTTGAATATCGATTCCAACCCTTGTTTCAAGGAAACCCAGACTGAAAACATTACTCCAATTACAAATTATCTCAATGATAAATTTGGTTTTTAAATGTCCACAAGCGTGAAATTGTGGTTAAACTTGTTATACTACAATGTAAAATGTATGTACGACACGTAAGAAGTCTCAGGGCACGCTTTCAAATATCTGAGCTAAGGTGAAGATGAACCCAATTTGTGAACATGCGCTGATGCCGTGGTTATATTCAGCAACATTCAATGGCACACACGACTGACCAGAGGGATCGTGAGCAGGACTCTGTGGAGCATGAGCAGAGATAGTTGCTGCTCTAACAGCTCGGCTGTTAGATTTGGCCTCTTAATAATTACGTTGGTGACTTGAGCGACTTCACCGTCCAAAACTGCTAGATATTCCCTATTATGTATTAACAACTAAAATAAGCAGATGCTAATTTTCATCCTTTTAGAATGGGGTACAAAATGGGTTAATTTAAAAATAATAATGATAATAAATAAAAATTATGGGGCGGAACAGTATCACATGGCTAAAGAATCACAAACATCACTCCTGCTGGACCTCTCTCTTTTTCCTCTCTCTCTTCCTGGGACAGTATATTGAAATCCACTTATGTCAATCACGGCTGGCGTAGTCATTGGTGTGAACTCTAATCTATGCACCGATCACAATTGCCCCCAATAGAAAGAGGATGAGAATTAGATGATATCTACAGCGTCTCAAATATAGTTATGGAATTACTGGACTAGTTTATACAATAATGATCCACATCCTCTCTCTCTCCTGTGGTTAAGAGGAAAGTAATTTAATCTGTGCTGTATGTTGCACATGTAGCACATTTGACAATAAAGTGGACTTAAACTTGAACATACTTTACTGATAATTCATCAGTGGTAGAATCTGTCATATCTGTAGTGCAAAAAAAAATTAAATATTGATTTGACAGCCATGATACTGTATATACTGTACTATACTGGTAAATACAGTTTAATCTCTTTGACATCATATATATTGTAGTGCGTCAACATGGTTGCCAGTGTTTTAATGGAATGCGAGTGTGCTAAATCCAAAATGTAATCTGATTAAATGTATCCTCTACCCGTGTCCAGAAGGCGCAATGAAGTACAGACAGCAGTGCACCCTGTTGTCTGGCATCGATCTGCGGTTCACCCTCGATTCTGCGTTCAGGAAGTCCTCACACTTGCTGTCAATATAGTTGATAACTGGTTGCCAACTGAAAAAGGAGAGAATTTGACATCAAGCAGTAACATAAAAAAAAAACATCTCTCTCATATGAAATTTGGACTGACTGAATCAATGTCACGAACAAGAAAGCTACTTACCAGTTACTGTTGTCTACGGCATCTCCAAATCCTGGTGTATCAACAATGGTGAGAGTCAGCTGGACGCCCCCTTCTTTAATGAGCACCTTAGACTGCTCCACCTGAAACACACAAGCCATCCATTGACTTGCAAGACGGCATTTCCAGGAGCGCACAGTTGGCATGTTGTTATGAGCGCTGCGTCATCTGAAAGTTTGCTGTGTAGGTTTACAACAGGGATGAGAGTGGCTAGTAATGAAAAAAGCGGTAGGGGACGTGGCCGGGACGGGGGCGGGGCCTGGACGGGGGGCGGGGCCACTTACAAAAGTGGCACGAAACATGCTGAAGTTGAAGTGTATTCAATTTACACACTATTTGAAACTTTAACAGAAAAAAATCCCAAAGATTGTTCACTATTCTTTCAAGTGAAAATTTGTGCAATTTTGCTTATGCATTCCTGGTGAGCACCAATATGTAACTTCAAATTTGCTGCTCAAAATCAAAACTAAAAAAGTAAACACATTCC